AAGTCCGGTGGAATGATGGGGACCCACAGGTTACAGTCATGATGCTTCCTTCAGTTTAACTCTTTTTAAAGGCTGAGTGTTCCAGAACCAGGCCACCAGGTGCTGAGAGAACTTTCGAAGTTTTTCTAGGGCTCCATGTTTGCAACAGCTTTGGCAGAAAAATGCAGCAGTTTTCCCTCCCCTCCCCCAAGTCCTGCAGGGAGTTCTCAGCCCCGAGTGTCATAGACAATGCCTTAGGGGTACATCTGAGTGGTCTCTTATAGCCCTAGGACACAGCAGAGGGGACTTGAGGAGGAGGAGGAAAACCGGCAGGAGAGGGAAGACCAGAAGGGGAGTGGTGGGGGGTGGTGTGGGGGGAGCAGCAAAGAGTCAGAAGAAGGGAGTAAAAGACTCCGAGACGTGGCTCCGGTGTGGAGCTGGGTGGTACCAGCCTGAGCCACCTCCGCCTGCCCTCCCCTGTCTCCCCTGAGGGAATGGGAGCTTTTCCAGTGAGGTCACACCAAGGCCCTGCTCTCTGATTTAAATGCTTGCATGCTCTCTAGCTATCGAGCTTTTCCAATGTTCACATCTGGGCTGCATTACCAAGGAGGCCCCTGTGTTTGCAGAAGATAATTTACAGCAGCAAATAACCCCCCAGCCCGGAGAAGTCCCCCAGCAACCTGGGGGAGTTTGGACTCACATGGAAATAGAGAACTGGTTCAATGAAATATGGTGCATAAATAAATCATGGGGCTTCTATACACCCAGGTGTCACATGCGTATTTAGCACATATCATTGAGCTTTTGTAACTGAAGAGAAGACAAAGGTTTAATCCTGAAGTTCATAAAGGGAACGCTAAATACCCTTCACCTTCAGTGTTTTCTTTCTTCCATGCAGAAGCAGCCTGTGTTTCTGAGAGGCTCCCTGTGCCCTGGGGGGAATTAACCAAGAGAAAGTTGCCCCCTTCCCCAATCCCAGATCTGCAGGACCCCAGTGTTTAGCTCAGGACTCAGTGAGACAATGCACATCAAATATTTAGCCCAGTGCCTGCCACCGGGTTAATACTACATATCCATAGAGAGAGAACTACTTGAGAGCAAAACTGTATGCTTTTTTTCTTTTCCACAAACACTACAGTTTTTTGAAAAATTGTATTTTCTTATATTTTTATAGCATTTTGTAAACTCACTTCCTATCCCGATGTCTCTTTTAGTTGTCACAACCAACTTGAACAAGACAGTATCTACTCCATCTCTAGTGCACCAGGTCAGATGCTGGGCCAGGAATGTGGGGGATCTGGGGCTTGGAGGGATATGATTGTCTAGTTTAAAGATTCCTAGGATGATTCAGATATGCACCCCTCTCTCTCTGTGGGGAATCACTGAAATGCAATGTACTTAAAAAAAACAAAAACAAAACTAATCTCTTTTATTAAAGTGACCAATTACTCATTGTAAGAATGCCATAATTTCCAGAACCTTATCTTCATCCTTGGCCTTTGAATACTTCTGTTTGCAATGACAATAACCACAAGGCACATCCTTATAATGTGCTACCCCTGTCAGGAATCCTTTGCTGTTGTGTCTTCACTGCTTCGTGACTGCACCTTGATGACTGCTTCCAGTTACGGAATGAGTAAGTCACAGGGATGAAAGGTATATAGCAGAGGCATACAGCCAATGGTATAGTGATGGATGGTGATAGAGGGTAGCGACATTTGTAGTGAGCCCCGGATACAGTATAGGCTTTTCAAATCACTATCTTGTACACTTGCAACTAATGTAACATTGTGTGTCAATTATACTTCCACTGAAAAGAAGAAGAAAAAGGAGGGCTGGTGTATTTCTAAAGAGGGTTTGTATATTTCTGGAGGCTCCTGGAGGGACCAAACAGAGTCAAAAATCTGTCTTGGGTTCTATTCTTCAATGACTAAAAGTGTAGCTGACAGAGGCAACTTCCGAGGGTCAGTGATGTTATCCATGGGGATGTCGGTCTCACCAATGGTTCTGTTCTCTCAAAAGAAGAGGGTAGAGGTCCTCTGAGAGGGACCAGACTTCACAGGTCGCCTCTGACCCCCTTCCAAGCCCTCCAAAGGACGACATTCCACTGCATGACCTCCATCAGCTCACTTAATTCTCTGTGGCTTTTGCTTTATCATCTCTTTAATTAAGTTGGAGTAATAACAAGCACTTAATTGGAATAATAACAAAGACTATGATGATCTCACTATACTGTTGGGAGGAAAAATTAAGTGAATAATTAAGAACTCGATAAGCGTTCTGAACACGCAAGAAGTGAAGGGAACATCACGCCGTGTGATTACGGGACACTCTCGAGAGAGAACGCCCAAGTAAGTGCTGAAACTCAGGGAAAGAAGCAACAGGCTGCTCAGGCATCTCAGGAACCTGCTTCCAGAAGACAGGGCCGCCGTAAGGAATGACTGAATAGAAGGGAGACAGAGTTTTCTCCCCTGGTGTTTTGAGACCCAAACCAGACCACACATCAGCCGTCGGAGGAGTTCACAATCGGATGACTAAATAAATGGTACTTGTTAAATTCTCCAAAGACAGAGGGTCTTGCTGGCTACTTATGCCACGTAAGTAACACGTGCGTGCAAAGATGAAAATGCAAGGATCTTAACCACAGCCTGCATTAAAACATACATGATTGGGGGGCGCCTGGGTGGCTCAGTGGGTTAAGCCGCTGCCTTCGGCTCAGGTCATGATCTCAGAGTCCTGGGATCGAGCCCCGCATCGGGCTCTCTGCTCGGCAGGGAGCCTGCTTCCTCCTCTCTCTGCCTGCCTCTCTGCCTGCTTGTGATCTCTCTGTCAAATAAATAAATAAAATCTTTAAAACAACAACAACAACAACAACAACAAAATACATAATTGGAAACAGCTTAAGTGCTTCATAGGAGACTGGACCCTAAATTTTGAAAGCGCAAACAAAGAGGATTTTCACAGACACAAGGAGAAATTTCGAGGCTAAAAACAATTCTGTCACCAGGCCAACGAGGGTCATCCTTATTTTTCTCTGAGAAGAGGAGGATGTCAGGGGTGGTGGGGAGGGAGGAAGGCTGGAGGAGAGTAAGTTCATATAATGTGAAATGTTTATAGTGAAACTATAATCTTTTGTGAAAAAATATATTGACCTATGTTGAGCTATTTTTCACACACAAGATTAAAATTTCTCTATGCTCTGACCCACTTATTGACTAACGTGCACTCTTTCTTACTCCTTGTTAGTTTGCACTTGCCTTTTCCTCCCATTCCCACGCACACAAGCACTCGTGTCATACTCCTTCCAGAAAACTCCTATGTCTTTCTTTAGGATTTCTGGGCAATTCTCCACACTAGCTATGCTCCTGGACAAATCACCATTTATGCTACTTCCTTTTTGGGTTTCAAAAACATGTCTTGTGGTATGAAAGAAATTCCAAGCCAGAAATCAAAGCAGAAAGCAAAAACAAAACAAAACAAAACAAAACAAAAAACAAATTGGAGACTGCCAATACTTTATTTCCTGAGTTAGGAGCAGATACCATCGACAATCACCATTCATATAAAAAAAGATGCTTAAAAAAAAGGTTACTGCCATACTTTTGGGTTTCATGGACCAGACTGAAGTAAATGAAATGAAGTTAAAAAAAAAAAATTGTGTAAATCAACATGATTTTGCCAGGTAATCATAGTATAAAAATTCCCAAAAAGAAAAATAAGAAGCTTCCACTACTAGGTCATAAAACAAATCATCTTTCTTCCCTTCCCTCTTTCTTTCTTCCTTTACTTTCCTTTTCCTTCCTTCCTTTTTCCTTTCCTTTCCTTCCCTCTTCCTTTCCTTTCTTTTCCTTTTCCTTTCCTTTCCTTCCCCTTTCCTTTCCTTCCCCTCCTTTCTCTTTTTAAGTAAGCTATTAAAATTATAAACGCATGTGCCTCTGAACTAAACTCTTCAACTGTCAAACATGTCACAACTCAGAGATCAAGAGTTCCACACTCTACCAACTGAGCTAGCCAGGCACCTCAAACAAAGCATATTTCAATATCCAAAAAATAACACAAGCTCAGAATACAGAAACATTCTTTAGGTTGCTCTAGCTTTCTGAAAACTTATTCGGATTCCTGGGAAATCTACTGCCTTGACTTATTTGATCATATTTGGCTTCAGACAAGGAAAACAACTTACCGTGAAATTTATCATCAAATTCAGGTAATGGGGGGAGAGCTGCCAGGGCACAGAAAGGGGCTTTCAAGCAAAATTGGGAATGTTTTACTTCTTAAGCTAGGTACAGGAACACAGGTGTTACTTTTTATAACATTTTCTTTATTTTAGAGTGTGAATATTTCATGTGGAACACTATTCCCATCATGGGCTGGCTTTAAGAAATCACTGATTGAGTTGAACGCATCCATTTCTGGAGAAAGAATGTACGGACGCCCTAGGAACGGGTAAGTGACCTGGTAAGCAGAGCCAGGGGACAAGTCAAGGACTCCTTACATCCTTCTCAGCAATCTCTCTGCCTGCAAGCTGAATTCAGATTTCTGCACTGTTAAGATAATTCTTTCCATGAGCATTTGTTTGCATTTTATCTTCTATTCAAACTAAAGCATGAAATTGTATAAAATTCAATTCTTGCCACAGTCTCTAAGAAACATTCCTACATAACATGTAACAGTAAATGTCTGCCACATTTCAAATTATAAAAATCCTAAAAGTATTCTGAGTTGAAAACAGCCTTATATATTAAAAAAAAGTACCTATGTTTTCCAGCTTTAAATTGGTCCAAAGGACTTTGAGGCATAAAGGAAGGTGATCCTACCCTTCATCATCAAAGAAAACAGTTCTACACAGTATCTATGGCAACTTCGTCTCCAGACTAAGACAGTAGAGAATTTTCCTCACATAATAATGTTTTGATAGGTCTGTTCTTTTTTTTTTTTTTTTATTCTCTATCTGATCACCAGAATTTTTTTTTTTTTTTTAAAGGGAGGTGGGAACGCTGGATGTTTCTATGGATACATACCTCACAGCGAAATGCAAAACGGTGGCGCCTGGCTTCTTGGGCAGATCATGGTCAAGAACGCGGTGATCTAACTGTAGCCAGTTCTGCTGACCTCTGTGAGGGCAAAGCAAAGAAAAAGGATTAAACAGAAGGTCAGAGAAAGGTTCAATAACACGCAGTGTTGGCAAAGCTGTGAGCAAAGAGTTACTGTCATACAGGGAAGGCAGGCGTATAACATGTTACAACTGGTAATGAGGCTAATTTAGCAATTACTATCAAAGTTATAAAAGCATCTGCCTCTGAGACAGACTGTTGATTTCCAAGAATTTATCCAGGTAAACCTACACATGTGAGAAATGGCTCACGTATAAAGTCCCTTACTTGAGCACTGGTTGTAACAGTAAAAACGCTCAAAACAACCCCCAGATATCCAGCAAGGTGTTGCTTAGAACAGGAATTTAAACTGAGCAATGACACACAAGGCAGCCATACAAAAGATGAAGGGTATCTTCACAAACTTACTTTGAACAATTTCCAAGACATGATGTGAAATGGAAAAGCACTGTACATAACCTGAGTACTGTATATAGCCATTTTAAAATTTAAAAATACACACACACACACATATGAATAAAATATCTCTGAGAGGATAAACAAGAAATTGATACTACCTGGTACCTTTGGAGGTAAAAAACTAGGTGAAACTTAATATATTAATCTTCAAATTCTTATTAAATATGATATCTGAAATACTGCAGAGAGTCAAGGAGGGGAAAACGCCTGGTTTCATGAAATCAGACAGACACAAAGAACAATAGTACAGCTTTCTATAAAGCATGGGGTTCCATATTCTCGGAGTGCTGTTTCTATATTATGGACTTCCTAATATTTGAGCATGTATTTTTTTATTTACTCAAGAGCATCAGCAAGTCCATGAATATAAATAGTTCTCCCTAAATTTTGACCTCTGAGGGATCCAAAGGATGATACTGTAGCTTGGGATTTGTTTCCAGGACTTTTCCAAGGCGGTCCAACCAGCTGGTCCGTTTTGGACTGTATATTCCCAGAAGGCACAGACTCCATTTTGCTTGCTTATGGAAAGCTTATAAACATGCAAATGGTGGTGGGGTGTCTAATTATAATAAAACCTATAATGGGCCACAAGATATTTTCCAACCTTTTTTGGTCTTTGAATAAATAATTTAAAAAACTCAGAAAACTCTAAGCTGTATTCATTATAAGTAGATAGGAAAAGTGAACATAAACAATATAAGTGTAATAGTAATAATAATCATTAATAACAGTTACTCATAATAATAACAGTTACTCTGTCCCCACAGAGCTGGAAGTTTTTATGTGTTAAGGCTGTATTTTACAATCAGCTTGCAAAAAAAGTGGCAGAGCCAGGATTTGAGCTCAGGACTTACACTACAAGACTTTGGTATATTAGGCGACTGGAATATTGAATCAGCTTTTATAACATTTGGCTGATCTCTGTCACTTATTATTCTCAACACTGGAAAACGTGTGTCTTTGTTTCTGCAGTTATAAAATGAGGCTTCCAATAATTATCCCTAGCTTTCCTAGGAGAAATATTATAAAGATAAATAAGATGATATAAGTGATATGAGGGGATGTTCTAAGAAACACTGCTTGTTTAAAAAAACATATATATAAAGATAGGGGGCTAGAAGGTAAGGGACTCTTCTACTGTATTTCATCCAGATTAGAATCGCTGATTTAAAGACATACAACAATCTCAGACATGTTCAAATATGTGTCTTAAAGTACATAAAATAGTGTATAGTATCAGGTCTTAACAGTTCCTTAGGGAAAATGAGACTAACTTGGACTCGTGGTTTTTGCTTTTATATAGGAAAGATATGGCATTATTATAAGAGTACAATATATATTTACATGAACTTGTAAGGAATGATGTCCAAGAATGAAGGAAAGAAGTTGTATAATAACATATATGACATAAATCAATTATATTAACCAAAGACACACACTGAAAACACTATTATATATGGATGAAATTCTTATAGTTCTGGAGAGGTATAGAGCAAACTGCGACCTTTGGAGTGGGGAGGCAATCCAAAGGGACTGGCTTCAATCATGATATTAAATTTTTTTTTATAAAAAGACATTCATGTATATGTACCATAAAAATAATTTTTTTAAAAAGGGTAAGTTAAGAATTAGGTTTTAAAAATCCATCCAGGAATGCCTGGTGGCTCAGTTGCAAGAACAGGTGACTCTTGATACTGAGGTTGTGAACTCGAGCCCCACACTGGCTGTAGAGATTACTAAAATAATAATAATAATAATAATAAATTAAAAAAAAACCCGCATCCATAATCTCACCAACAAGATCAAATTAGAAGAACAAAACACTGAAAATCACCCATAACTACCATTGAGATATACATAAGATTAATGTGTTGTTTTATAGTCTTTAAGACTAAAATGAAATCAAAAAGCACTTTTGCTTCTAACCTGCTTTTCCCAAGTTTTTCCATCAGCAAATATACTAGAGCTAATCAATGTCTCAAGAACACAGTTGACTGTACGGTCTCCTCTATCAAGCTGCTCAGCTCAACCCGAAAGCAAGCATTTTTTTTTTGGTTTGGAATGGTATCAGTCCAAAAGCCCACCATCAGCTCACACCCAGCAAATGGGATGGTGATCAAAAGTCACAATTGTTTTGTGAAACTGTTATTTCTTCATAAGCAAAGCTTATTCAGCAAAGTCTTTCAAAACAAGAGAATTAAAGAAAAATGAAGTGGGTTGTAGGGGATGGGAACCATTTTGGTGAACCTCAGGGCTGCTGGTTCAGGAGGGCAAGACTGCCCTCTAGAGGTGAAAGGCTGCCTCTGCATACAGATCACCAGGAGGTACTTCCAAGTGGAATCTCAAGGAACTCTACCCCACCCTCCAACAGGACCGTGGATTTATTTTTGTTGGTCACCATCACCACTTTTCTTATGTAAGAAATGGTGTAATTCAGTTTTTCCATTTCTCTTCTTGGCCTGTGCGTGGAGGCATAGACAGTAGCAAGTTTCATTGACAAAAGGTCCCCCTCAGCTTTGTCTTACTCTGTTGAGAGAAGTTCACCAAAGGCAGATGGCTGATGTGGCATCTAAGTTGGAAATTCAATTCAGACAGCATCCTGGGAGGGATCCCACTCAGTGGTTTTATGGGGGCGGGGGAAAGGGAGTGCTGAAAGAAAATACTTTCCAAAAATATTTACCAGACAAAAAAAAGAGCTAGGGCTTGTGACCAAGACATTCCAAGGAGACACCCTTAGAGCAATTTTCCAGACCTGTTCCCCAGAAAGGTGGAAATGGCCAAATCCCCCTCCCCCCTCCCAGTTCCCAGCTCCTGCTTCTTCTGAAAATAAACATAGCTATAGCCAGAAGACACCTTCTAAACTGGTCGTAATTCAAAAATAGACTGTGCTGTCACTTGCAGGGGAGTACACAGAGGACAGTGTGGAGCCAGGCTTCTTGGAAAGACTACAACCATCAACCACTGTTGCCAAACAAGAATGCTGGAGGAGACCCCTGAGTGAGACATTCTTCTCCCAGTAGGGGATTTAGAAAGATATCCCAGAGTAGAAGAGGGGGGAACGTGGCTCAAGGCATTAAAGGAAGTCATTCATATTATACCTTTCCTTTCTGAAGAGAAGACCTTACAGCTGAATGACTGATTTATGCAGTTTGGTTATGCTCACCTGAACTGGAGTTTTCCCAGAAGCCATCCATTGGGGAACTTGCAACACCAGTCATACATCATGTAATTCCTGTGCAAACATCCTACAGCGGGGTGGGGGGGGGTGCCTCTCCCATCTATGTGACACACAGGGCTCACCTATGATCGTGTTCCTCTTACCTCTTGCGCCACCATCAGGCCGGGCTCCTCACCACTGGGCAAATGCACCATAGTCCTCTCCATGCTCACACACTGAGCCACAAAATGAGTCTTTCCTAGAATGTCATCGCCCATTTCTCTCCCCTCCACCCAAAGTCTACCTGCCCTGCCCTGTCCATTTGTAGTTATTCTCTTAGGAGAATTCCACTCTAGTCATCCATTAGGCCCCTTCTGGACACTGAACTTACCACTGTACCAACAATAGCATGACAGCTACCTTTCAGCATGTGCCTAACCTATGAACTGGGCATGCCCTACCGGACTTAACAGTACATAATCCCAGCATCCTATTACATGTGTCTTATGTAGTCCTTATTATCTGAAGGTACCATTATTATGCCCAATGTATCAAAGAGAACACTGGAGTAGCGGAGATGTTAAGTAACTGTCCTAAAATCTCATAGCTACCACAATTCTATAATAGCCACTCCCTGCCTCCCTCTCAGCCCTTCACCAGCACCACTTTCTTTCTTACTCTCGATGTTCCAGTCATACTGGATTGTTTTTTCTTTCTCAAAAATACAAAATTTAAAAAAACCAAAAAACAAAAGTCAAGCTCTGTCTCACCTCAAAGCTTTCGCCCTGGCTTTTGTCTGGAATGCCTCCCTCTACGTACGCAGAACTGGATCTTGCTTCTTATTAAATGTCTCCTCCTAGAAGCCCTCCTCGTCCATCCTATCTAACAGCCCCCCCCCAACTTTTCTTCATCATGGCCACCATCATTTTCTTCTATGCACTTATCATTTCAAGTAATTTCTCATTTATCTATTTGTTTACTTGTTCTGCTAGACCATACCATTGCAATATAAGCTCGGTGAAAACAAGAACTTTGTCTCTGTCATGCACAGCTAAATCTCTAGGACCTAGAACAATGCCTGGCATTTCATGGGCACTCAAGAAATATTTGCTGAATGAATAAATTACTATTCATGCTTTTCGCTTCTATTCTATGTGACCTCTCTAAACCACAGTGTTTCAACCAGATAGCTTAGCCATTATGTGTTTTAGGCTTCATATATTGTTTGTAATTATTGCATGTACAATCACTTTCAACCTGTGTGTGTGTGTGTGTGTGTGTGTGTGTGTAATCACTAATTGACATGAACATTTACATGAACTAACCTTGTCTTTCCAGCTAAGAGTATGTGGTCAATGGATGTCTGCACTTCCTATTTCCTCCAGCAGAGGACTGATCATACAGGGTCTCAAATAGCTGTTGGGTAAACTGATAATTTTGTGAATCAGAGTGAGGCGGGCAATGTATAAGTGTATTTTTTTTGTCCAGTGTACTTCCGATTCAGGAAGCATCCTGGGTCTGGGATCAGAGTTTTCAGGTTTTTCTGTCTCCTGACAAGTGGTTTTCCCCAGCCCATGGGTAGGGTGTGTGTGTGTGTGTGTGTGTGTGTGTGTGTGTGTGTGTGTGTGTGTTTGTGTGTGTATGTGTGTGTGTGTGTGGCTAGGCTTGTGGCCCACCCAGGCTGAAAATAATCAGAAGCAAGGTGTTAAAAAAAAATTAACCCCATCTTGAAATTATTTTCTGCCTGGTTAAATTAAAGAACTGAAAAAAAAATTTACACTGGGAGAGTTCCAGAAAGAATGCTGGGTAGTTGGCCAATATATTTTGTATGTCTGGAATGCATTTGCTTGAATTTTAATATTTGAAGAACTCTTTGGATATTATCCCCACAAAGAGGAAGAATTCCTCTGACAATCTATCAGGTTGCAAATAACTTAGGCAAATGGGACTGTCAGAACACACACATACACATACATACATACACACACACACAGAGGAAAGAACTGGTAAGACCAAAACATTTTTTTACATGGAGATTTAACTTCTTATGAGTCTGTTATTATACACATGCTTCATTTCAGAAAGCATTTATATCATTGATAAATATATGCTTTGTCCAAGTTAGCATAAAAAATATAAGTAGAAGAAGAAAAAGATTGTAAAGAGGTAACATAAAATGATGTAGGGGGAAGTGAAAAAGGTCATTTAAAAAATGTTTTAAAAAATTTTTTTATTATTTTTTTAAAGATTTTTATTTATTTATTTGACAGACAGAGATCACAAGTAGGCAGAGAGGCAGGCAGAGAGAGAGAGAGGAAGGGAAGCAGGCTCCCTGCTGAGCAGAGAGCCTGATACGGGGCTCTATCCCAGGACCCCGGGATCAAAAAAGGTCATTTTTAGTTAAAAGTAGAAACACATTTTTCAGGTGGGCCATACATTTGCCTTTAAACTTTCTTGCCATCAGCACCCAAAACATTAATTCTCGTTGCAGTATATGAGTGAATAATGACCACACATACATAACTACAGTATAAAAACTGTGCAGATAGATTCCCAAGAATAGCAACTCATTATAACAAATTTCTGAAACATTAAGATAATATTTTGGTGTTTAAAAATGATCAGTACTCCCTTTCTTCTCCCTTTGCAATAGTCCTCGGAGAGAAGTCTCAATCTTTAACTAAGCAGGACATATTCTAATTCTTGGAGCATTTCTGCCCTTTTCTGCTGATTGTGAATGACAGGGAGCAGGTCATGCCCGTGAAAGGTAAACAAATGAAAATGATTAAAACACTCACGTGTCATCTGTAAATGTTATTCCAAAGTACTCCTTTTCTTTCAGGTTGAAATGTGAAGCCACGAGGTCCAACAATTCTCTTGATAAAAGTTTGGGCTGTTAAAATAAAAGGATGATCAGAAGCTACAACCCTTCTCTGCCCCCAATAGTTTGGAGAAGTTTTTTTCCTTGTTTTAAAAAATTTTTTAAAGATTTTATTTATTTATTTGACAGAGAGAGAGAGAGAGAGAGAGAGAGAGTGAGCACAAGCAGGGGGAGTGGCAGGCAGAGGAAGAAGCAGGCTTCCCTACTGAGCAGGGAGCCCGATGTGGAACTCGATCCCAGGACCCTGAGTTCATGACCTGAGCTAAAGGCAGACGCTTAACTGACTGAGCCTCCTGGGTGCCCCTGCTGGTTTGTTTTTAATCACAACCCCCCCCCGCCCCGTTTTGCTATTTATGTTAATCAACTACACATTTTCCGAGAGATTGGGAAGGGGAAGAAATTGTAACAGGAACCTCAATGAGATCATCGTTTTCATGTATTTTGCAATTCAGTCCAGTACCTTACTTTGTCCTCTAGGGAATAGTATGTTTATTAACTTGATGATACTTTGGAAAAATACTCTTTTATATGTAGTGTAATGTTAGTGACCAAGTCAAAGAATATCAAACACCTCACCGTCTGGACTGTAGGAATAACTTTGCTTCGTGAGGGCCAGCTGAAGACGCTGAAGACCCAGGGTTGTGCGGTCACAGATAAAACTACTACACTACTCCTGGTTCCCATTTACTGCACTGAACTCCTTCTATCTATTGTCTCATTTCATCCTTACAAGGAGCCTATGAGATAGGGGGTTCTTATTGCCATTTTAGAAATGAGGGGACCAAAGTCAAGAGAAACAAACACCTGACTTGATGTTCCGGTCAATGAGGGCAGGGAATTGAACCCAGTTCCTTCTGATTCCAAAGCCTGAGCCTTTCATTTCTCTCTAGAGCGGGAGTGATTTTACTCATTGTACTGATGATCATCACCAGTCTTTACTAAGCACTTATTTAGAAGAAGGATGTAATCTATAAGCTTTTGAGAAGCACTGGACATGGTGTCAAGGAGCATGGTTTGGAATCAGAGGAAACATCCAGAGTGAGAGTGGAGACCTGATTTGGAGGAACTCAGAAGAAAAGGGGGATACGCAGGACGGCACATGCATGGGCTTTTTTTTGAACTTAGAGCCAAACAACTCAGAGCTCATTATGGTGTTTTGAGAGTTGATATTTGCTGTTGGGGAAGAAAGATGGTCATAATTAAAAAAAAAAAAAAAGAAGAAGAAGAAAGAAATAGAAATCTAGATTAAGAGGTCTACTCTGGTGAAACAGTATTGACTACTGTTTTCATTCTAACTGAAGCCTAAGCATTGTGGGTGAGAACGGAGCCTCTGAAGAGTTTAGGTTTGGTCAAAGGAGAGAGTTTTAGCTGTAGCTACAGTTTTGACTCTCAGAGGGGGTTTTCACAATTTTTTAAGGCCCTTGGTCCACAGTGTGGGGTAAATAAAGAGAGAAGGATCAACAATTAAAATACCACCACTCATATACTCCACGTATTTTACAAAAGGATTTCATTCACATATAACGTCTACCTTGATTTTAGCCATAATACTATGAGGAAAACTAAGTCTTCTCTATCTCTGTTCACAGATGATGATACTGGGTATTTAGCTTGGATAAAGTCATGTAGCAAGAAGGTGGCAGCATGCAGATTTGCAGCACACAATAACCTTTTCAGGGAAACATGATGGCGTCCAGCTTACCAACAAGAGGTTCAGAGAAGTTGTCACTTCCTGGGGGTCACACAGCTACTGAGTGTCAGAGCTGAGGTTGGAACCCAAGGGTCTCAAATTCCTGTCACCAGACCATAACTACTCTTACATGTTGACCAAGTTGTCTGACTTTGAAGCTCTTCCTTTGCCCCTCAAATGATCCTTAGTCATTGGCAGAAATAAGCGAGTAGCCTGACCACGGGCCATGAGGCTCACAGAGAGAACCAGTACAGGCTGTCTCTCTGTGAGCAACACCTACCTGAACCAGCAGCTCCAGTCTCCGGTCATCCAGGAGGTGCACCTGGCAGTGCCTGCCTTCTGTCATCTGTGGAGACAAGACAGCAAGGGCGGCATCAGGGCTGGTGCTGGCAAGCAGACCCTTGAACTTGATTCATAATTTAGTTTACATGTGATGTCCTCCACCTAAAAATGGCTTCAGTTGAGTTACTCAACAGCCTTGATCCTAAATAGGACTTACTGTTTGGCGTTAGCTCTTGAATTCATCAATAGATGAATTAATTTCTTCTTATATTTAAAAGAAGAAAAAAATGAAAAGTAAAGACAAATCACTATGTTGAAAAAATTATGCCCATAACAGTGCACACAAGATTATACTATGAAAAGCTGGTTTCCTTCCCAGAGGAAACTACTATATTTTTCATTGAATCAATATTGGATTTTTCAAATGAAATTGCCTATATTCATTGATATATTTTAATAAATATAATAAATGCGCAATTATAAAGGAAAACCTATGACATTAGAGTTAAAATGGAAAGTTTCCATCTTTGAAATTTTGTCCTTTTTTTTTTTTTTTTAAAGATTTTATTTATTTATTTGGCAGAGAGAGATCACAAGTAGGCAGAAAGGCAGGTGGGGTGGGGTGGAGGAGAAGCAGGCTCCCTGCTGAGCAGAGAGCCTGGACGCAGAGCTTGACCCCAGGACCCTGAGATCATGACCTGAGCCGAAAGCAGAGGGCTTAACACATGGAGTCACCTAGGTGCCCCAACTTCTGTCCTCTTTATAGCATGTCACTACTGTAATTGAGAACAGTTAAGACCCATAGTTAAGAACAGCTTATGTCAGTATAAATTTCCAATTATATTTACGTTTTTACCACTATAACTGCAACTCTGGGAAATAGTCTCTATAAGATACTTCTTTATTTACTTATTTTTTATTTGATTTCATTTTATTTTTTAAGTGGGATCCACGCCCAACATGGGGCTTGAACTCATGACCCTGAGATTAAGAGTCACATGCTCTATGGACAGAGCCAGATAGCTCCCTCCCCCTGTAAAATATTTAAACAATGCACAGAATACAAAGAGCCCCCTTAATTAACTCATGTTCTAAATAATTTTATCTGCAGAAATCACCACTCTGTCAGTTTGAGGAGAATCAGCGCAGACTGTTTTAACATGTATGTTCATATATACATGTATGTATTTTCAAAAATTTCATGTTAAATGGTTTGCTTTGCAATTATTGGACATATTGTTTTGTAAATGAAGCAAGTATTGCTAATATTTGTGTGTGTGTTTGTGTGTATATAACTATCCATAAATTTTATATATGACTCTGTGTGTATACTGTGATTCTATATGTATACAGAAACACACATACATGATATATGTTCTTATATATTTGTATTATTATTAGATTATATATTATTATACATAATATTGCACATATTTTATATATATATTTTTTCAACTCAAGTGGAACTAGGCTCTTTTTTGGTGATCTTTCCAGTGTCAACACATAGAGACCAACTGTACTCTTTTTAAAGGTTCTATAGTAACAAGTGGACATGTAATAATTTAATGAGTCTCCTGCTGAGACACACTCAGATGTCCTTCAGTCCTTTGCTATTCTAAGCAATGTCATGGTGAACAATGTCTACCCAACTTTGCCCATGGATGAGGAAATTCTGCATCACTTTGAAAAAGGATGGGCAGCATTTTCTCTCTCAGCTGTTGTACCAAACTATAAGACCTGGAAACTCAGATTACATATAAACCCAATTTAAAGAGAAAATCACTCCATTACGAAGCACCACCTATAGACTTCCCATTGTTCCAGGTGTTTTATACATATCATTTCTGAGCTGCAGTCACCCTGTGGATTGCTGTGACCTTCTCCAATTTAACAGATGGGGAAATTGAGGCTCAGAGTGGGGTAAGCGATGGTTTTTCTATATGAAAAATACTAATTATTGCATTTACATTTTTTACTAAACTCTGCTCTAAAAGTCTGAAAACTAGCTTGGTTGGTTAGATCACGGTATTATGGAGACATGGTCCATAGAAACCACTGAAGTGGTATGGAGAAATGAGTGGGCAAGCTTTTACTTTGTTCCATGGCCCCTGATTATGTTAACTCAGCAAAGTACACACTTTTGGTGGCGAGGAGAAAGGGAACAAATATTTGTTTGTTTCAGGTACTAAGCTGGGCACTTTATGTACATTATTTCATTAAAGTGCCACAGAAAATCTATATAACAACATCCCCACTTTACAGACAAGGAAACCGAGGTACAGAATTTAGTAATTTATCCAGAGTTAGCTGAGTAAGAAAAAAGCTAAGTCAAGATTTAAATTAAGGTCTATCTGAATAACAACAAAAAGTCACATTTTACTCCACTATTCTATTCTACAGGAAGAAAGAAATAAATGTGTCAGTTCAAATCACTGTACTTCTCTCGTAAAACCCACACAAACAAACCCCAAATACGTGTACTATGGTGAGAGAAAATAAAATAATACTCAGGAGACCAATTGACACAACACGAATCCATTAAGGAATATGTCAAAACTCATAAAATATTTCAAGTTACTCTGTTGTTGCATAATCCAAAGGAATTTATTTTCTGATTTTCAAAAAACATCTTTTTTCCTTTCCACCGTACTTTACTCGGACTTGTCCATTTTCCTTCTGTCAACACCTCATCCTACCCTAGAGAATTAAATAGTAGATGCTTTTCTGGTGAGTCTACCCATCTCAGGATAAACACCATGAGTGGTGGCCATATTTGTACAACTTGGTCCAACCCCTTCCGCTTCAGGCTTCAGCTGATTGGACCAGGGAACAGACACCTGACTCAAGCTGAGCCAATCATATCCTCAGTCCAGGGAATCCGGAATTGAGGCTGAGAGGATGGGGCAGGTCTCCTCTGCTGTGTGTGGACAAAAAGGAAAGCCATCTGCAGAGAGAATGAAGGACACAAGCAGCTGGAAAGAGGCAAGAGAAATCATGCAACCTGAAGGGGAAAGCTTGAGAGAGTTGCTGTCAGCTTTCCTAATGTCATTCTAGTCACTTGTAGTCACTTCTGCTGCTTTGGGTGAATTATTGCTCTTTCGTTCCATGACACACCCTTGTGTTCTTTTTTTTTTTTTTTTTAAGATTTTATTTATTTATTTGAGAGAGAGACAGTGAGAGAGAGCATGAGCGAGTAGAAGGTCAGAGAGAGAAGCAGACTCCCCGCGGAGCCGGGAGCCCGATGCGGGACTCGATCCCGGGACTCCAGGATCATGACCTGAGCCGAAGGTAGTCGTTCAACCAACTGAGCCACCCAGGCGTCCCACCCTTGTGTTCTTTTAATAAGTCCTTTTAATAAGACTTTTTTTTTTTTCTTTCTGAAACTAACTCTAGTTGGATTCTGCTGCTTGCAACTAAAAGCATCTTTCTAAGATACCATATATATATATATATATAAATTTTTATATTTTATATTTTTATAAAAATATATTTTATATATAAAATATAAAACATATTTTTATTTTTTATTTTTTATATTTATTTTATATAAAATTTTTTTTAGAGTGGGGAGGGACAGAGAGAGAAGGAGAGAGAGAATCTCAAGTACATTCTCCACTAAACATAGAGCCCCATGTGGGGTTCAATCTCAGGGCCCCAAGATCATGACCTGAGCTGAAACCAAGAGTCAGATGCTTAATCAACTGAGCCACCCCAGCATCCCAGATACCACAAGTGTCCACATATAAATCAGAACAAAAGGCTACCAAGGAATGGACTCCCCAGATGATACCATTACTATGGTCAAGTCATCTAGCATAATCACAGATGCACAATTCACAAGTACAACAGCCAGGAGAAAGGCTGACATTTGGTGGGGAGAACTGAACGAACATCTCAGTATGTGAAGTGATAAGAGACCATACAGGACAAGCTGGAGAAGCACAGTGGAGGTGAACTGAAGGGGAAAAAAAGTTACAGTTTTAAGCCCATGTTGGCACATCTGTGCTCTTTCCTCTGTGGGAGGATGGCTTCTCCGGGAGGCCAGAGTACTGATTTTCTCACTGCTAGTGATAGAAAGGCCTGTCTTTGTCCCTTACTTAAATCAGAGGTTGGAAGGTGGTGGATGTATTTTGTTATGAATAAATTTTTGTTGGTGATATCAGAAATCAGAAGATGCCGCTGAAGAAAAATTGAGACGGAGGGCTTGGGAAACACTGGGCCGCATTTCCTCCATGGCAACACTGAGCTGGGGAAGGTGGGGTACAGCAGCTCCCTCTTTTAGATGAGGTTTGTGGTGTCTGCCTCGCCCAAATTTATTATCTGCCAGGTTCCTGAGAGTCACATCATGAGAATAAGCAAACCCCTATTTAAGTTCACAAAGTACCAGAGAAGAGACAAAACCCATGTCAAAGGCGGGCCTCCTGTGCACCAGGCCCAGTGCGTGACACTTGACCTTCATTAATGTCTAGTATTTCAACCTCTAAGCAAGCCTCTGAAAGGGGTATCCGTATTTTATTTGGTTTCGTTTTGGGGGGCCTTTCTCAATTTAAGCACCAGGAAACCACCAAGGTCTGGGAAATGATGGCACTTGCATGAATTCTAAGCCAGACTTGGGCTTGAAATCATATTTTATCTCTTGCTAGCTGGGTTAAGTTGGAGAAGGTACTTAACCTTTCTGAGCCTCATAAGCAATATCCTGGTAGCTTTTCATCCGACACCCCCGAGAGTGAAATAAACCACTTCCACAAAGCACAGTTATTATCCTCCTTATTTGCCTGAAGCTTAACAAACAGCTAATAAACCTTCCTATAGTCCATTTACCCTACCATTAAAAAAAAAAAACAAAACCAAAAAAACAACTTCCTAATGGGAGGAAGATTACTAACCCATTTTGAAGAAGATCAATGATAGGTAGAGTTAACAAGTCAGTTAACAAGCACATAGCAAAAAAATTCTCCAGAGCTGATGGGGCAGACATAGAAAGAGAGAGGGGACCACGAGCTCCTGCGTGGCTTCTGTAAGCCTGGCACCTGGTTTGGCATCTTATTTTTATTTTTTAAAGAT